ATTTTTTATTTATTTATTTTTGTATTTTTTTTTTACTATCAAGGCTGCAGATTAAATTGTCCAGAGAGCTGTTACAAACGAAATTTCTTTTTGTTTTACGCTGGTATAAACAAAATGACAACTAAAATCTTTCTAAGTCTTCACTTTCAGTAGAGGTTATAACTATTGTCGGGTTTTTTGGGGCGTTTTTTTTTTTTTGTGCTACACACAACAAGGGTTAATTTTACAAAATGGTTATTTTTCAAACGAAAATACTTTCTTTAAATTTAATGCAATGGGCTAATTGTGATAAAGAAGTCCAACATTTTCAGCACAATTTATTTTACTCTAAAGGCATCACTTTACCACAATAATTATTTTGTAGCCACATTAAAATAAAATTTTTAAACATATATCCAACCTGATACATTTTATTATTTTCATGATTTGATAAACAGGCTGTTTGCATAATGTTTGGTTGTATTTATTTTTTTCTTTTTAAAATCCAATCTAAAATCCCATTAATCTGATCCCCTTTGTCTGCTGTTTCTAGGATCAAAGACGGTTTAGTCAACCTTTATTACATATCCTGTTGTTTTTATGGAGTTAAATCCGTCTCTAACGCTGAATCATCCAAATATTCCGTTTACATTTTATTTTTATATTTTCTTTTTCTTTTTTTTTCTTTTTTTCTTTTTTTATTTATTGCAATAATAATAATAAGAATATTATCCTACAGGCGGATGTTTCCTACCATCCGGGTTTCTTTCTCCGGGGTTGACCAGGACTCCAAGTACATCGTCCTGATGGACATCGTCCCGGTGGACAACAAGCGGTACCGCTACGCCTACCACCGCTCCTCCTGGTTGGTGGCCGGCAAGGCCGACCCTCCTCTGCCCGCCAGGTAAACACCACCAAACTGGACATTATTCTGGATTTTTATCATATTTTCTTTCTATAGCAAAGATTAAGATTAAAACAAATCTTTTAAATAGTCGCATTGGTGTCTTGAGTGTAAGCTTTAGCCATTTTTTTATTTTATTTTATGCTGTTTTAATTTTCATTATACCAGGGACAACACAAACTGTTTAGTCTCCTCATCCAACAAGGATTTTATCAATTATTTATTCCCAATATAATCAACATCATTTGCCTCTGCAATTATCATGGGCTACAATTATAATTCAACAATATAATAATAATATCACGTTAAAAGCTATTAATCAGTACCTTAAAAAACC